CTTTTTTTTGTAGATGCATGATGTCTTTACCTATCATTTGGTATATTTTTTTTATAAATCTGACTTTTTACCTGCCTACAGGGGGGGATTCAAAATGACAACTTTTTCACAATAAAAATTGACTTTTTCAACTTAAATTTTGAAAGTGTTCCGGAGTCTGACACTTTTATATATATCTTAAATTAAAGCTAATGTAATATACTTTATCATGGAAAAAAAAAATTTCGGACTTTATTTTATCTTCAAGGTGAAAATGGCTACCAAATGCTATTATTGTGTGAAAATTCTCAATTTTTTTTTTTACATTTTTAACATTATAATGCTATAACTTATTGAAAAGTGTATTGATCAATATAATTTTTTTATGGGAAATACTATTTTCTAATAATCTCTTTTTTATTCGACATACTTTGTCTTAATCAGGATATTAATAAGGAACTAGCAGTTTATGAAGCTTTTGGAATAATCCACCAATTTTTTAAAATTAAACACTATCTAAAGATTTGCATCGAAGCGTTTTTTTTTTATAGTGATTTTAATCACTGTCAGATATCATTATACTTGATCCAACTATGCCACGTCACCACTGTGCCGCGACCCCCCTGTGCTGGGTTTTATTATTTTTATACTATTTTAGTTATCAATTTTTACAATATAGGACTATATTTAAAATATGTTTTATGTTATTTTTAGTAATCACAAAAAATATTTTAAAAATTAATTTTTTTACTGAATTTTTTTTTAAGATTAGAAGATAGCCATTTTATAGATAAGTTTTAATAAAAAATTTTGATAACAAAAACTCTTATTTAAATTCAATAATTAAGTTTATACAGCATTTTTAAGTTTGTTCAATTTTTATATTTTCTATGATTTTCCTATGGTATCAAATTACATGTTTTCTTTTGATATTTGGAAAATCATTTGAAATATTGCTATAATTAAATTAAGGATTTTTAAAACATTATATTAGATTTATTCCAAAAATTGATTAACATGGTTATTAATTTTTTTAACATTATTAACAGATATTAGACTATGTGTGGTTTCAGTCCATAAATCATATGAATCAATATCTATTTTTTTTTTAGTACTTTTATTTAACATATTATGTTTATATTCATTTTCTATTGAAAATAAAGACACACAAAAAAAACAATTATTAATAATTTTAAAAAACCTTAAAATATTCTCATATTCTCCATCTAAGCTCTTATATCCTCTTCATCAACACTATGTTTAAATAAAAATTCATATTTATCATCTTCCTCAGAATTTTCAAAATTATCACCCACTTTTGATAAAATTAAACTTCAGTCTTCTTTTAACTTCGATGCTGAGAAGGTATTAATTTTACTATGATGTATTTTTTTTTGTGTCTGTTACCACTTTTTTACGCTCACACTAAACCGATTTCTTTCAACGATACGTCAAAAGATATTTTTTTTTTATAAATTTGACCCTTTACCTGCTCACAGGGGGGATTCAAAATGACAACTTTTTCACAAAGATTAACTTTTGAAAGTGTTCCGGAAACTCTGACACTTTTATATATATCTTAAATTAAAGTTAATGTAATACTTTATCATGGAAAAAATCATAAATAAGGAAATAGGAGATCATGTAGCTTTTGAAATAATCCACTAATTCTCTTAAAATTAAAGACTATCTACAGATTTGCATCAACGCTTTTTTTATGATAGTGATTTTAATCACTGTCAGATATCATTATACTTGACCTAACTATGTCACATCCCTACTGTGCCGCAACCCCACTGTGATGGGTTTTTTTAGTGTTAGGTATACTCTGAAATTCTAAAAATTAAATGATATTAATTTTACAAATATTATCATTGATAATACTATTTATTTATAATACCACAAACAATTTCATTCTTACTACTAAAGCAGAACATATAACTTAATTTATAATAACATGACATTATTTTTAAGAGAGTATTAAAATATGTATTGTTACATTTAAATCTTCATTTATAACACCAACTTTTAAAATGAAAATAAATGTTTAATTACTATCTATTATCCCATTTTAACATTGGTTATTCCAATAATTATCAACAACATTATTACACCCTATTATTATTATTATCAAATAGGCAATATGGTTTCTAAATGGTAATATAGTATATATATAATATATATAAGGCAATATGGTGGTGACTAAAACATTATTTTAATTATCATAACACTTTTAAGCTTGTTAATACTCGTGAATGGACTGTAATCATAAATAATAAAAACAGAGTATGAAGCTTTACCATGTGTAATATATATCAAATGTCGTTATAACCTAACTGCATGAGTAACCTACGCTGGTTAACCAGTAATACTATATGTGTTACGTCGTGTAGCTTAATCTGTGAATATTGTGCAAATAGCCCTTAACATGTCGTGGTATCCGCAGAGTACCATCGACACATAATAGTAGAGTACCGCCTTGCACGAGTACCCTAGACGTCAATCGACCACCGCAGTGCGCCAACAACGATGACTATAAAACAGAAATAATTAAAATATAGTTAATGCACCATACTCTAATTATTTCTTCCTGATTATGTGAATTATGCCTAATGTAGCTGTGCGCAGGTGAACTCATGCAGTTAACTTATTTGGAATTGCTCTAAATGTTACTCTCAATAATATTGTGTTATGTATAAATTTGTCTATTGTAGACAAATATATTCTATGCAATAAATTAAAAACAAACTTACTTATAGTGAATGATCAAACAAAAACTGACTTGCTTTATTTAAGAAAATAATTTTCAACAAAAATAACTAAATAAATATGTAATATAAAAAAGTGGAATATCTGCTGCGTCCTTCTTTTTCTACTTGGTTCTGAAAACTGACTGTCGTTGAGACTACAAGCAACCCTCATTACCTTTCAGCCTGGTAGGTAGTACCGATCCTTTCTGTGATGCTAGGCAGTTGGTCAACCGGTCCGAACTACCTGACTCTCTGTTCGCTGACAAAGCTGTATTATTAATACAGCTAATAAAGTTTTATCATATGAGTCAAATTTTCAATCAAAAAAATTTTCATCTTTCTTTTTACAATAAATGTCTAATAAAAAAGATTAATTTAAATATTTTAAATTAAAAAAATTCAGTGGTAAAACTATTAAGTCATGGATTAAACATAAATACTAAGGATTAAATATTAGACATTAATCTAACTTAATATATGTGTTTATCATAATTTTTTCTTGTAGAAGAAGAAACAGTAACAAGTTGTAGTTTGTTCATTATTATAGTTAGCCACCCATAAAATTTTTAGTATTTTCTTTCATAATAAAATCAATTGCTTTGCATAACTCTAAGCTAAGTAAATATTTTTCAATGAAACCATCATCAACACGTAATTAACTACATCTTCATCTAAAATAACAAGATGTTATATTAAAAAATTGGGTAGTATAATATTTTAGCCAACATCAAAAGTTATATCCAAGATAATTTGATCAAATTTAATAGCATAAATACAGTTAAATTTGCATACAATTATTTCAAATTTTCTTTTTTTAATTTTTTTTTACACTGGCTACAAATATGCAAAAACAAAATGTTAAAAATAGTTAAAATGTTATATTAAAGTTTGCATATAACACTGTTGTGCACATGCTATTAATTTCTTTAATTTAACCTAACGACAGGCATTTGTTCCAACTAATGTTTTAGCTCTATCACAAGAGAGTCCCAAAGAGTCTAGAGTCTGTAACCTAAACTCACAAACTAGTTAATGGGAAAATTTTTTTTAACAAATATTAAGTAATCAAAACATTTACATTATTTTGAAATATTAAAGTAAAAATCAATTACAAAGGTTCTAATAAACCATGGGTATTTCGTTCTTCAATATTGTCAAGAAAAATTACAACAGATAAAATTTTTTTTTAATTTGTGGGAGGAAGACTGCACTTGATCTAATTTAATAAAATAAATAATTTATTATCAAATAATTACTAAAAACAAATTAAAGACTAAAAAATTGTGGGAAACCAAGTATTATAGAAAGTGAAAAAGTAAAATATATGAATAAATACGCGAGTAAAAAAAAATATTTAATTGCTTCTAAAACTACTATGTCAATACCATATGTCAAAATAAAAATTATTATTAACTAAGTCTGGACAAAGTAATATTTATAAAAAAAAATAATAATAAAAATATAAAATTTACTTTAACTTTTGATACTATTTCAATAATTCCAACTCTATTCATAAGATCTGAAAAATTATAAATGAATAAATTTGTACAGATTTTATTAAATTTTTATATAAAAAAAAATAGAGAATAATCATACAAACAAAAAATATTATGCTTTAACTGGTAAATAGATTCACTAGAAAGGAAAAAAAATAATAACTGAAAATAGAGTAAGAACATTTATTACTATTCTTACCACTTATATTATACACATTATATTATGATTTACTTAATTAGTAATACATATTTTTTTAGCATAGAGTGAGATGCTGATGTGAAAATTCTACTTGTTTATAGCCTGCAGCTATCAATGTCAAACTAACAAAAGGTTAGTAGCCGTTATAGATAAATAGATAGATAAAGTTTTTGATATTATTATTTTGACTTAACTTATTTAATTCAACCATTCGTTTATTGCCAATAGTCGCCATAGTCAACCAACTTCGTCTCACTTGAATTTATCTACTAACCAACTTTATTAGGATTTAGGTCAGACGGATTACATATAATATATATTTACTGAATATTTAAAATATTTAAATATTGGTTTTAACCAAGATCTCCAAGTATTAAATGGACCCCTAACAAAGTTAACATAGATGTAGCCTTTATAAGTGTAGTACGTCAACAAACAAACTAGTAGTATACCACTGACATTTAAATAAAAAACTAAAAAAATAATTAAAAAACTAAAATAAAAAGTTATTATTAAGTTAACAAAAATACTAGTCAGCTTTAGATGAATGATAAATTGCAATATTGTTGAAAAATTGATAAAATTAATTTTAAGGGTTATTTAAAAACGACTCTTGTTCAAAAAAAAATGTTTTATTCATATAATTACATACCTTTACATCTGAACAAAAAACATATAAAATACCATTTTCTAATAACAAGTATTTTAGCTTAATGTAGTAGTAGAAAAAAACTTCAAAAGCAACAGTTTCAACAATTGAATCACTGTCTACTGAACGTTTTAAATAAATTGAGAGTTTAATTCATAGAAAAAAGAACAAATTATATTTCTTTTATGTTTTGATTGGATACATTCAAAATATATTAATATTGTTATCAGTAATAGCAGTATCACTTTATTGATAACTGACACGTGCTAGTCTAATGATAGTGAAAAATTATCAAACTAATTTCTTAACTATTTTATTTAATAAGATTTTAATAAATTTTTATGATGATTTGAAAATAATAATTCTTTTAAATAAACTTGATATTTAATACTTTATACTTATACTTCAATTTAAAGTAGTTTTTTAAATAATAATAGTTAGCTATGAAACAAATTTATCAATTACAGGATAATATACCCATATTTTATGAATCTAAAAAATCAAGACAAGTTCTTGTTGAATTTCATGATGGAAATTTTTTGTACATTAATGGTATAGTTGATATCAAAGTTATAGAAGGAACAATAGATATTTGGGGTTATCATATGACATCTAATACTGAAAAAACTACTATATATTCATCTGGTTTATATGGTTTAATAGCAATTCAATCCAAAAATAAGAAAAAAACCTTAGTTTTATTAGAAGAAAGTAATTTAAGTTGTGATTGGAAAGCATTTATGAAGAATTATATACCAGGTAAGTTATACCATTAATTAATTGATTATTAAAATAATCAAAAATTTAAAATTTATCTTATTAAATTAAATTTATTTTAAAATTATCAAAAGGTTTGCAATATTACATTATTATTTTTATTATACTTTAGATTTTAACATCTTTGAACCAACTAATACAAGATTAACACCACAAAAATCCATTATAGACCTTGAAGTACAATTAAATTGTCAATTTGATTTAAGCAAAACACCTATTTCAAACCATAGACTTGTTACAGATGAGCAGTGGGAAGGTTTTGGAAATGAACTTATGAACTGTTCCGTTAATCGTTAGTTATGTTACATTTTAGATTTTAAACAATATGAATTTGTTTCTTTTAATTTTTAGAACCAATGAAAATATTATTTGCTGGTTATCAAAATGCTGGAAAGTCAACAATGATGTGTTACTTTATAAACAAATGTTTGCAAAAATGGTCCAAAGTTTTAGTATTAGATTTTGATATTGGCAAAAGTGAATTTTTCATTCCAGGGTGCATATCAGCTTTTATCATTGATTCACCTCTTCTTGGTCCTAATATTACACATTTGAAATCTCCATATAAGTAAACCTTAAATACTAGGTATTTAAAAAGCAAATATATTAATTTTTCTATGTATATATATATATATAGGTCTTATTTTTTTGAAAGTACTAATGTTATGACTAATATAAATATGTATTTGGAAATGGCTAAAGCATTAACTAATGACATTAAAAATGATCAATATTTGGAAGAAATGCCAATTTTCATTAATACTATGGGATTTGTAAAAGGTAATAGTTTAATTTTAGATTTTATGAATATTATGTTTTATGTTGGGATTATATTTTATTGTTAAATAAAAAAATAAATAAGAATATAAAGAAATTCTATTCTAGTTCTAGACTATAGTTAAATATCATTCAAATATGTTTTATATGTAATTAAATCAATTAGAACATAACTTTAGATTAAATTTACAAAATTATTATATAATAACTAATTTTTAGAAAAACTTTTTGTACGTTAATTTTTCAAAAAATTTATTATAAATAGTTCAACTAAACATGTAAAAAAAATATATTTTATCTTATTTCAAAATTTAATTCAGTTGATTTTAATGTAATTTCAATTAATTTTATGTTAATGTGTCTTATATGGTTACTATTATTTAATTTTTCAAATACTATATTGTTTTTTTAGACGAAGGACTTGAAATTTTGCATAAGCTAATATGTATTACTAGCCCTACAGATATAGTTCAGCTTAAATTAAATGAATATCAAGATTTAAATTTACATTCAAGTATAATTAGTGATAGTACTGGTGCTACTTTGTCATACAATCTTTGGTATTTTACTTCAATAGTTAAAGTAAAATTAGCTAAAGCCCCATATTACAAGTACTTAAAAAAATTAAATTTAATGTTTTTAGATAATTTTTGTTTATTAAAAATTAATTTACATAATATTTCAGAAGCATTGAAAAACCCATAAAACAACAATTATTAATTACATCTTACTTCAGTACGTGTTTACGAAATACTGATATATATTTTAATGATATTACTCCATATCAGTGAGTATAAAATATCATGTTTGACTAATTACAAATTTTGATAGAATAATTTTTCATTTTAATTTTACAGTGTTAATATTCAGAATATTGATGTACATATTACTGAAATAAACGATTTAACTCGTGATGAAAAATTAGCTGTAATTAATGCTAATATAGTAGCACTTTGCATTTCAAATAAATCAAATCTGTGTGAATGTGTTGGATTTGGTATAGCTGATAAAATACTTTATTATAAAATTATTTAAAAATTATAAATTATTTGTTTTATTTGTAGGTTTTGTCCGCAATGTAAATATGTCTTCTGGAGACTTATACATTAACACTCCTGTTAAGCTTAACAATTTGATTAATGTTAATCAGTTAAGACTTGGTAAAATAACTTTACCTTACACTTTTTATACTAAAGGATTGCCAATTTTACGATACATTAGTACAAAACAGGACAACATATTCAATGAAAGTGTGACTAGACATTATAAAATTATGCATTAAGAAATATATTTTATGATGTTCATTATAATTCTAATAAAATAAACAAATTAACAAAAATAAATGAGATCGAATTTGTTTTTAAATAAGTTAAATATAAAAGTTGAGTTTATTTTATATCTCTATCAAATCTAAAATAAAGAGATAGTAGTACTGTTTTAGTACTACTTTTTGGAATGACTAATGATGAGATCTGTTGTTGACATTCAGTTTTACTAGAATTTGGTAAAAGTTCACCAATCTCAAAAGAGCCTGGTTCAACCATAACTTCAAACGCTGCATGACATTTGTAATAATTACAAGTTTCAGAATCAAAATATCTGAAAGAAAAAAAAATTTATAACATCATGTTTAAAATAATTAATATTAAAATACTTCTTACTCAAAATGTTTTATATTTTGACAACAAACTGTTCGTTTCAGATAAGGATAAAGCACTGTATTTTCAGTTTCTGTTTCTGAAATAAATATAAAATGTAGTACTTAATTACATTTCAAATTAACTCAACATGAGATTTTTTTTATTAACAATTTTTATTATTTAAAAACTCTTAAAGATTTTAAATAAAAACTTTTTCTATGTAACTAAGCAAAACTTTTTGGACTAACAAATTTGTATTAGAGAAACAGTTTTTTTTTTCATTTCAAAAGTAAAACATTTTTACCTTAAAATTTTTTAGTGCTTATTCACTATTTCATATTGGATAAAACAAAAAATAATTATTACCTCTAAATATTAATGTTCCATTATCTAGACAATTACGTATCATTGAATAAGAACATCCTACATATGCGGATTGCCATTTATCCAATATTAAATTATTATGTTTTGGATGTTGACATAAAAGGAACTTACACCAACCAGTTTCAATTGATAATTTGTTTTCATCAAATGTGTATAAATTACAACCATCACAATAACAAGTATGACCTGATTCTAAGAAAAATTCATCTGAAAAAAAAGAAACTGAATATTCTCAAATATTGCTAAATTTAATTGTAATTATTTAAATAACTACCTGGAATACTCAAATATGTCTTGATTTTCAATGATAAGTTGAAATATTGACATTGTTTCAAGCGTAATACTTTCAAAATTTCATTACGTTTTCTTTCTTTAATATCTAATTTATAATAATTAGATGCCTTTCCTGATCGAATTTTAGACCTTTTCAGTGAAGAAGTACTTGCTTCTTCATCAATCCATCCAGATAACTCGGCTGATCGAGATCTAACATCATGACCACTAGCCACCAAAACATTTTCATTAGTTTTATCAGTTTTCATCCATGTTAAATCAGCTAGATCAGTTTCTTCTTGCGCTGGACTCTGTTTTTCATCTCCCTCCAATTCTGCTTTTTCTTCAGATGGCACTGGTTGCCCAACATCATCAGGTAATAAATCATTTTCTAATGGCATATTTGGAATAATATCTACAGGTGACATGTCAATAAAAGGGTTGACTATTGATACCTACAATGTTCATTATTTAAATATTTTTTATTATTTTATTTAAAAAAACTAATATTTACTTGTTCACATTGACCATATAAATCAATAACACAATAACAATCATTCGGTATATTAGTAGCAGCCACTCCATAGTCAATACGATTAAAAAATAACTTAAGACAATTATTACTATCAATCATAATTCCTACTATGTCACCTAAATTACAATAATTTAAATCTGGCCCATAATTACTTTTCATCTACAAGAATGTGTTCATATACATTATTTAACAAGCATAATTTTAATTAAAATATAAAATACTCACTTTGAGACCATTATAGTAAACTGAATCACCAGAGATCACCCACGTACTGTTGTAATCACTCAACAATAATGCTGTAGCTGGTGCATCATTATTAATGGAAGAAATTTTAGATACTCCAATCATAAGAGATGATTCCCACTTTTTGTTTAAAGATTGTATTTCAACCTAATTATTTTAAAATTAATTTAACATAAAAAAGGTCTAAAAATGTATCAAAGAAAAAATGTGTAAACCTGGAATATGGTATTTGGTATTAAAATATCAGATGTCATAGTTAAACCAAAATTATAACTATCAGTTCTAGTAGCAGTTCTTCCGTCCCTTGATAAACGAACATTTTTACCATGCCATTCATTAAATCTCATTAACTTATATGTTGACTAAATTTTAATAATATTGTTAATGAAAAAACTATATTTTTGTATTAATTTATAACTGATTAAATAAAATCTTACTTCATCAATAAAATAACTTATTTCAGATGAACAACACTCACTCATATCTTCATCAAGAACAGTCATTCTTTTCAAAACATTAATAGTAGTGTCTCTGAAATTAAATGAAATAAAATATTGTTCTTAGTTTTAAAAATAAATGTCCTTACACTTTAACAGATTCAGAAATATCTGATAAATTTTCACTACATTGTGAAGAAACCATTTGCAAATTATTTTTATTATCTTGATCAACATAAATGACTTTAGCAGAGATATGGCAACCATAAAGATCAAATATAGCATAAACTGACTATGTAATAAATGTTAGATATTAATTTACAAGCATTTTCTTTTTTAAAGAAAATATTTTTTAAATCTTACATCTGGTATATTATATGTAGCAACTCCTTGATCGCAACCATTAACATATAAATGTAATGATCGATCACTTGTATACTTGATTCCCACTCTATCTCCTTCTTTTAATCTATTTAAACTAGGACAGTAATTTGTTTTTACTAATGATTGGTTATACCACACTTGATTACCTTAAAAATAATAAAATCATAATATTGAAACAAAAATTCTAGTTATCATACTATGATCTTTAAACTTATTTATAGTACTTTACCTAAAAAATACCAAACTTCCTTATTATTTATTTCTTTTATATCAAGTGGTAAAGCACCTTCCAGAGAAGAATTTATAACACCAATACGTAAACTTCCTGCATATTTTTTATCACATTTTACAATTAATATTTGAAATAATTCATTTGGAATTAATTTTTTATCTGATATTATGAGACCTCCCTTGAATGAACTTATTCGAGTTGCTATTCTACAATCATCTGATAACTTAATGTTTTCTCCGAAAAGATATCCAGAAAGGTTTATATCTCTAAAATATTAATTAAACATGAATTATTAAAACTATTTATTAATTAAACAATAAAATTGAAAAACTTTTAAATTTTTCTTTATGCCTTCTTTTTGTCTTACTTTTGCCCTTGAATTCCAGTTTCAGTTTGTTCAGATATTGTTCCATCTTGTGAACAACAACTTATATCTGATTCACTTTCATAACATTTAACTTCAGGTGGACTCTGGATTGTTACTTGAGTACAGCGTCCATAAATATCAATTACTGGATACAAGTGTGATGGTACATTTGTACAAGCTATTCCTTGATCAACATTGTCCAAAAAGTAATGTAAATTTCCATTGTTATGTCTCATAACACCAACAACAGAGCCAACTTTAACTTTGTCCAAATCTAATTCATAGTTATATTTGATTGCTAATCCATCTTTCATAACTGTACAACCAGATAAAACCCAAGTGTCGTGGTCTAAATCAGTCATTGTATTTGGTAAATCAGTAGACAAAACATTAGGAGGTATGGTAGTAACACCTAAAATCAATTTAGTTAAATATTTAATTTACCATGAATTTTAATTTATCAAGAAATTATCTACTAACCAACTTCGATAGATCCTGACCATCGATCATTTAATTTATCTACACTGACAGTAAATAGCTCTCCATCTTGTAATGTCTGATTTACTAAAACAATTGACTGGCTGAATTCATAATCACAATACAATCTATCAGCAGTACGACCTCTAGACCCAGGAACTATCCGTGCATTTTTACCGTGATTGGTAAAAAACCTAACATTATTCCTTAAAAATTCATATACATAATTAAATATAATGAATTCATAATTACTACACATTATATTAAAACAATTACTTATGTGGTGAAGTTTTATCTCCATTATTTTCGCGGCAAATGGTTATCTGAGCAGCTTGTCCATATAAATCAACAACACCAAATACTCCAAGCGGTACATTTTTAGCTGCTTCACCTTGATCAACACCATTCACATAGAAATGTAATGAACTATTTGACTTAACCATGGCACCTACACGATCACCTACTCGTAAGGTATCTAAATTTACTCCATACTGATTTACAACAGTTATGCCATTGTGCATAATTCCAACACCAGTCATCATCCAAGTACCAGAATGAACATTTGTCATAGTTAATGGATAATCTATATCTCCAGGTCGATGAGTTGTTATACCAATTTCAATAGATCCGGCCCATTTAGTGACTAAACGATCCAAACGTACTTCAAACAACTCATTAGGTTTTAAAGGACGATTAGTTAAAACAACACCATTATTAAAATCATCTAAAGCACTATAATGAACCAATGAATTATTATACTTATTTGTTTGCATATTTTAAATTGTCTTACTTTGGTCTATAAGCTACAGTATTATTGTTTATGACTAAAGTATGAGCACCGCAATTAGGATGAAATTCTAATAAGTCTTCATTGAGAGCTAAGTAACAAGAAAAAACTATTAACAATTTTAATTAAAAACTTAAATTAAAATATCGCTAACTTGAATTTTCAATAGATAATGTCAGAGAGTTACTAAGTCTAGTGATTAGATTTTTTTCTTCATTGACATCTCTATCAACTATAGTAACTTTAACTGTCCTACCATACATATCAACCACACCCCATACTTTTGAAGGTAAATTTGAAACAGCTACGCCTTGATCAAGACCATTAATATAATAATGAAGATCACCATTTTTTTTACGCATAAGACCGATTCTGTCACCAACCTATAAAAAAAAATAGTAAATGAAAACTTAAAAACTTCATTTATTTACTTTTCTACCTTTAAATCATCTAAATTAAAATTGCCATATTCCCTTCTAATCCCTTTTCCATTAGCCAATATACCACGCCCAGACATCATTGAAGTACCCGTTCTCATATTAGTCATTGTTGATGGAATTGGTATGGTACTTGGATCATGAATAGTTACACCCACTTCAACACTGCCACTCCATTTATCAACAAGTTTGTCGATGCGAATCTAAAAAAATTACCATGCAATAAATAAAAATTTTAAAAAAAAAATATAGCATTTCTCAAACCTCAAACAATTCATCATCAAATAAGTTTCGGTTAGTCATAACAACTCCATTATTAAATTCATCATAGGCCCTAAGACGTTTAGCTGATCTATTGTTAAGGGATAACTTTACCAATGTACCACATCGTAAGTGAAACCGTAGACGATTTTCTGATTGAGACTGCATTGTGACAATCCAAAAATAAACAACAAATACTTTAAAAGCATTGCATATCCCCTAAACAAAATATTTAGGAAATGAAATTTAAAAACATTTTAATTTTAAAATAGCAACTGTACTTGACACAAATCTAGTATTTTAAAATACTGTTAATAATATAATCAACAGCACTATTTAACTATTTCTTAGTTCAATTTATAAAAACTTTTCAAAAACACTGTTCATATTAAAAATTGATATTTCAATAATTTTATCAGTTGTTTGGCGTAATTCAATAATAATATCAAAAAAAAATAAAATACAAATTTAACCCTATCTAATTATTATACTACATAAATTTAGGGTACTGCCTTATTATACATAAGTGCAGAATGCAGTAGGGTAGTTATGAACAGCTGCCGGTTGCAAGGGTGAAATATATACATTAGTATTGAGTTATGATAATAGTTTATTAGATGATAATAGATGATAATAACTTTTACATTTAATAATTTATTAAAAATTGATATGGATGGATGATATGAAATCAGGCACTTCGTTAAAATATTTTTTTGAGTTGCTTATAAATTACAAGATTGCTTATTTTAAAATACACAGTAGGATCGTTAATTCTATAACAATTTTAATTCCAAATTACTTTTTGTTTAAATTATTACAATAAATGTATTGCTTAAATTTACCAAATTATGTATTATGTAGTATTTCACTTTACAAAATGAGACAAATATTAAATTTTCTTTTATTTATTTAAAAATCGCTGTAATCATTTTGTTATTAATTTTTTTGTATAATGCGTGTGCATAAAATATTATATCAAAGAATTCGAATATCCATTTAAGAAAATAAAAATGATTTCTAAACTGAGAATAGTGAGCATTTATGGATTTCTATTGGGATTGTCATTTTCTTTTATATTAATATTGAAAACCTACTCACTTCCCATTTATTTATTTAATAAAGAAATAAATTTACTTCATTTATTTATTATTTATACATTATTGACCCATGTTTTAGTAAGAATAATAAATAGAGATATTGTGTACAAAGTAAGTACTTGCTAATACTGCATTAATATGTTTCATCATTTTGTTAATAAAATGTTTATTTATTTAGATATGTGCTCAAGCTCTCTTGTTGGGCTTAATATTAGCTGCTGGTATTATAATTTCTGTTTTATCAACTTCTGTATGGAAGCCTTTTGGATGGTAATTAATTCAATTTTAATATAATACAATAATCTTAAATTGGACCCAAAAATTAAAGCCATAATAATAAAGAAAATAGTCTTAAAACTTTTAAATCATCCCTAAATGTTTATTATTTATTTGTAATTTTACTTATCAATTAAATAATTATTTTTAATATTCTATGTTTATCCTATATTGGTGCTTCCAAAATAATATATATGTTTTCCCAATAAGCAATGAGTAAAAAAAGTTATCATATATATTAGCTTCAATTCGAATCTGAGAAGGTATTAATTTTACTATGATGTGAATTTTTGTGTCTGTACCACCTTTTTTTTCAACCCTCACTAAACTGGTTTCTGTCAAAAATACGTCAAAAGATCACAAATTGTATCTAGTCAAAAACATTACCCTCAAAAATTGAAAAAATTTCCCTTGTTTCCCGTAAATAAGGAAAATCTTTAAAAAGATGACAAATTGAAAAATCATTAATTTTCGACATTTAAAAAATTTTTTTTTCTTAAAACTGCCATAACTTGTTGAAAAATATATGGATCAATACAATTTTTTTCTTATAAATACTTAAGATAAACCTATCTACAGAGGGGGATGTAAATGAGAACTTTTTTAACTTTACTTTTAAAGTTTTCCGTAATAATGACACTTTTATATATATCTTAAATTAAAGCTTATTTAGTGTACTTTAATATGGAAAAAAAAAATTTCAAACTTTATTTTGTCCTCATGGTAAAAATGGCTACTGTATTCAACAATATGCTATCTTTGTGTTAAAATTTTAGATTTTGTATTTTATTTTATTTTAAAATACCTTACAAAAGTTTTTGAATTAGAAAAAATTTTTTAACTCATTTGATTTTTATCTCATTTAGATTCAATAACTTAAATAAATATCAAGGACCCCAACACTGTTGTCTCCCCTCGTTTAAAGAAATTTTTTATCCATATTAAAATTATTTTACTATGTAATTTTTTTTGTGACTCATTTATTTTCTCAGCTTTCACTTGATCATTTTTTTTTAAATGATACATCAAATGATCACAACCATTATCTAGTTTAAAAATTTCCATTTTAACAATTAAAAAATTACTTAGCCCACATTTTCAATATAGACAATTAAAATTATTCATTTCTAATGTTTTTAAAGTATTTACTGTCTAATTAGGTTTGATATGATAATAGGTTTCAACTGCAAAATTAAATAATTTTACTTTGTAATTTATTAATTTTTTAACTTTATTTATGTGTATTACTATAATTCTATAATATTCCAAATTTTTTGGTAATGTGTTGCTATGTAAATCGATTACAATAAAAATGCAAAAAAATATTGAGCTTTTCTGATAAATTTATAGTAAATAGTAATTATACAATTTCCTGACTGCATATTAATCTTAACAATATTATTTTTTTAATTCTCACTATCTACAGATTTGGAACGAAGCATTTATTATGATAGTGATTTTAATCACTGTCAGATATCATCTATACTTGTCCTAACTATGCCACATATGTACTGTATCATGACCCCACTGTACTACAGTTTTTTTTTCTTTTAAAGATGAAGTCTCTGAAAGTTTAATTACTTGTGTAAAAACTTAGACATTACACTTAAGTAAATTAACTATCAATACTATATTAATATAATTTTTTATACTTTTTGATTTTTAAAAATCAAGAAAATATGATTATTAGTTTGGAAAAAAAATAAACTTAAAAAGCTTATGGTAGATTCAAAAATAAATAAATAAATCTTTGATTATAAGTAGATGGATATTATAATATATATATATATTATTTAAGTTTAATTTCTCTAATTACAAAATTGTGATGTACTATTAACAAAATTATGTCATATGATTTTTCATTAAATTGTTTTTTAGGTATGTATGTATCATGGCTTTGTTTCATTATTCCGAATTTCTTAGCATTGCCATTTGTAATCCAAAAACTTTAACAACATCATCATTCATGTTAAACCATAGTGTTGCATATGGTATTGCAGCCTTAACTAGTTGGTTTGAATATTTAGCATGGTATTATTTCTTACCTGGTTAGTTTTTTTTTACTTATGAAATCTCAATTTCTTATTCTAATAATATGATTTACAGAAATAAAATCATTACACTCAATAAGTTATATGGGAATAATATTATGTATATTTGGTGAAACACTACGAAAAACTGCTATTTGGACAGCCAGAGATAATTTCACCCATTTAGTTCAAAATGAAAAAACACAAACTCATAAACTTATAACTCATGGTGTGTACTCGTGGGTTAGACATCCCAGCTATGTGGGTTGGTTTTATTGGAGTATTGGGACTCAAGTAAAATATATTTTTTTTCATTTTATTTCTTCAAGTTTCAACAATTTTTTTATAATAATATTAAATAAATTTTAGATTGTTATGATTAATCCAATATGTGTTATTGCATATGCGTTAGCTAGCTGGACATTTTTCAATGAGAGGATTAACTATGAAGAAATGACTTTATTGAATTTTTTTGGTGAGGATTACATATCATATCAAATGAAAGTTGGAATAGGTCTACCGTTTATCAAGGGATTTGAAATAGAACAAGAAAAATAGCAAATTATCAACAATATTCTATGGATAATCATGTTGTACGATCAATTTCTTAAAAATTAATTAAACCAAATTATGTACAAAGCATTATAATAAATAATGTTTAATATTAGTTAAGTATAAAAATATAAAGCTAATACAAACTTATACATAAAGTTAGATAAATTTTTCATATAGATAATTGTTTAAAAAATGTAATATTTATATAAAAAAATTTTTCTGATTGTATACATTTTACCATAGTACAAAAATTTTTTTATTGAACACATAACGTAAAGTAAAAGTGAAGTAGGAACAAGACATTTTTGTTAAAAATATAAAAATAATTTAAAAAATATATAAATTAGTCCAAAAAAGAAGTCTTATCGATAATTGGCAAGTCATCATTCCTATAGCATTTTTAAAGATAAATACAACTATATTACTATAGTACTATATAGTATACTTAATTAATATTGCATAAATAATTTGGCACAGTTAGAACTTAAACTAAAATACCCCGGTTATTAATTGTTACAACATTGTTATTAATAATTCCATTAGCAGCTTTTACTATATCCCAATTAGCACTTTCTAATGCTACCAGGCAAACATTGTAATCTATATTAGAGTGTCCTTCAACTTCCAAAGCAGCTTCAAGTTTAACTAACTTAATTGCATGATGTACATCCCAGCTTGCAATTTTCAACATATCGGAGCATTTTTCACTTGATATCTATAAGTAAAAAGAATAAAGATATAATAACAAACAAAATGTATCAAAGTAGTGATTATAACTAATAATATAGATCAATAACATTTTATTGTTAATTAAATTTAAAATGTAATGGCTTACTTTTGGTCCAAGGACTTTAATCATAATTCGAACTTCATCACTATCAATATTCTTTCTATCAAATTCCTCAGGTAAATTATTGTGAGCTTCATTTGTAGACACATGAGCCTCTTCCGTTTTTTGGAATGTTATGATTTGTTGCTCAGTTACTGGTGATTCATTAATTTCTAAATTATCTAGTGCATCTAATTCCAAAGCTATTTGCTCATCAAAGCTCACTTCAGTAACACTATTAAAATAAAAAAAATATGTTGAACAATTTTTTTTTGAAATAAATTGTTTGGGTGAATTACTTTTGATTTTGAACAGTGTTTTCCTCAATTGATTCAATTATTTTAAAATCTAAAACAGAATATAAATTTATACATCTTTAAAAGATTAATTTATTTCAAATTTTACTTGTATTTTGTGAGTTAACTGTTTGTTGATCGTTAGCTTGGTTTAATGGTTGAGATGATGAATTTGGCATTACTAATGGATATTTTCTCTGATGTCTTGGCTTTGAAGCTGTTAATTGTTGAACAGCTCTTGGATCTTTTGGTGGTAAAGGTATTAAGTTACAACTTGAATCATGTTCATCTTCTTCAGATACAATACTATAATCCAACAAAAAACATTTTTACACTAAATATATTAATTTAATTGGCACTAAATATAAATAATTTAATTTTTATAGAAAATATATGTTTTAATGTGAAAGTTTAAAACAGAAATTTAAAAATATAAAAAACATGATAAAATTAATTTTACTAAAATTAAATTACCCGCAATCAATTTTATTCAGCTTTAATTTTGTTTTGATAATTTGATTCTTTTTTAACATTCTTAAAGAATGTGCACAATCAACCGTTGCTGGTTTTTCAATTAATCCATTATATGCAAGTTTAGCTTCTTCAGTCAAACAGCCCTATGAGATTGAAGAGGACACAACAAGGAAAGTAAAGGAATAAAGAAAATAAAAAACAAAACAAATAAAAATAAACACAAAACATGCTAATATTACACTAATCTACAATAACTTATTAATAAACAAATTATAAACTCAAGTAATAAAGAATTAAAAAAACAATGGAAAGTAGCTTTAAAAATGAAAAAGTTTGAAATGTTCTAAAATTAAATAAAATAGAAATCTATCTTTTGACAGCATAAAAAAGTGTAAATTAAAATCACTACTTAAAACAAAACAGTAATATTGTGTTCATTAAAAAACATTTTTTTACATATAGTACGCAATTAGGGTCAAATAATAATCTTAAGTGAGTCATAAATTATCTTGAAAAATTATGTGTTGAAATGTCAGCATGTATATATTACTATTTTTTTTAAATAATCAAAAGCTATTATTAAATTATTCATAATGGCACAACACCCAATAAACAAAAAAAGAAAGATAGATAAAAGTAATAAGCACACTTAAAGCTCTCCATTTTCATCATCAATTAGACGAAAATTAGAATGGTTTTTTGTAAGAATATCTTCATACAGATTACTATCAGAGTCTGACCAACTTCTTCTTATTTTATCTTTATTTTTACTAGATGGTAAAGTATTTGCTCTATAAACTTCTATTGAGATTTTAGATCTAAATTTAGGCGAATTAGGACACGAATATTGTTCCCCAACTAATGTTTCTGTAGAATCTAAATTAGAGCAGTGCTCATTAGATCTCATAGAATTGCAAGATATATAGTCTAATGATCCTATACTAGGTGATTCTTTTGTTAACAACTCTCTAGAGCGTGCAAAATAAAATTCAGTTGAAGCTTTATCCCACAAAGGTAAACGAAATGGAGCATTATCTAATAATGATTCAGCACTAATAAAAGAAGAAAACGATTGCAAACTACTACATGACTAATTTTATAAGCAAATGGAAATTTTGATAAATAATTTTAAAAAGGAATAGGAAAAATATATCATAAACTTGTTAGTTATATTTTGGAAAAGATATAATACATTTTTTTAGTGAATCATACTTGAATATCTGGAATAGAAGCAGCTTCATCAGTGAATGTTTTTACTTCATGTTTCTGTGGTTTTGTCAGAGAAACAATGGGATTTGGAAATTTAAATGTTAACATATGTTTACTAGGTGATGATGGTGAGTCAGGTATATGACTAAGGGGTTGTTTAAAATCTGATCCCATTGTTCTGTTAGCTAGCTCATTAGCCATAGCAATAGCTGAGTCAAGGGTTTTTTCATCAGATGCTGATATTGGTTTAACCTACAAATATAATTCTTATTTTATTATTTTATTTCTACAACATTTGATTAAATAACAAAAATAATTACTGTGGCTTGTTTCTTTTTTGATTTAGAATTACAAGCAGCAGCAAAATTAGCTGCTATTTCACGCAATTCATTTCGATGATTTGTGTCAAGAGGATCTAAGGGCGACCTTGGTGGTGATACAGCATAATTACTGATACCATATGTACTTATATCAAAAGAAGTTAAACGTTGACTTATTTCTGTTTCAATTTCTTCAGTTAAACTAGGACCAAAATCAAATGTTTTCTGAAAAAAAAAATTATTTACAAAAATAATTTAAATCATTCTTCTTCAATTATAGGTAATCTTACTTCAAATCTAGGACTTTCAGCAACAGTGTCTTCATCACTTATTTCATGGTACTCATGATCAGTTAATATTTTAGCTATTCTATTTTTCTCTAACCATGTTGATAGATCTATAAAGAATTTTTATCATATAAATAAGGTTAATAATAATAATGATTAAAATAAAAAATCAGATTATTTGAGTACCATTTTTTTTTGTGTCAGTCTTATTGCTATTGAGCAATGGGGCACGATCTGAAAAAGTTTTGATTGAATTTGGAGAGTCACTAACACTAGCACAGTCTTCTTGTGGTTTATAAGGTGTAACCACTTGATGAGGTAGATGATTATACTAACAAACAAAATATAATGTAATTTTAAAAAATAAAATGAATAGACAAATTAGTCATTACTTTTGGTGCATTTGTACTCATAAATTCAATATCTCCAAAATATGCTCCATCAAGACCTACATGTCCCATATGTTTAACATCACCTTGTGGACATGATATCATGTCAATTCTTAAACGACTACTACGCCTAGATGAATACTTTAAATCTAAATAAAAATATATAAAATCATTTAAATATTTTATCATTATACAAAAAATATTTAATTCAAATTAATATAACAAAATAATTATGGTAAAAATTTCTTTTTAAACCTCAATTTAAAAACCTTTCTATAATGTTAGTTTCTCCATATTAATTAATAGTACACAAGACAAAAATTTAACATATTAAAAGTCAAGCAAAAAAGTATAATTTAAAAGGAAAATATCAGTACAGTTACAGAACAGAAAAGAACAATAATCGAACTTAGTTTCACAAATTATCAAGTATGCAAATCTGAAATTCTTGATTTTTGCATTATTCTAATAATTAACATAAGTAATCCAAATTTAATGTAGTAAATATTTAGTTATTCTAAATACACACACACATTTATACATAAATATGTATTTTTTTAATACTTTTATATTTATAAAAGGTGATTATTTTATCAATTAACTTAGTTGATCGTTAAATTTAAAGTTTTTCATAATAAAAAAAATCGCTCTGTATTTATAATTTTTTTTTTTATAGTTTTCTTTTTTTGTTTACAATATTTAAATAAAAATACAATAATAATAAATTACCATTTCTACTAAATTCAGAGTTCCTATTAGATGGCAAATTAGTGCCCAAATAGGCTACAGTGTTTGATGGATTAAACAAGCCCGTTTTTCCATTACACAATACTCCTTTCCAAAGGTTTGGTACACCAGGCCTATAATAATCATAATGAAATATTTCTATAATTAATCAAAACTAAAACTTATAATTTAACTTCACATACGTTTTATCAAGTACTGTTATAACTTCTTTTATGGAATATTGAAGCATATCTCGTTTTTTTTCTTCAAAATTGACTATAGTTTGTACTTGTTCTGGTTTACACTAAAATTAAATTAACAAGTCATAAAAATTCTCAATAAAGTTAAACAAATTCAAAGAAAACACTCACATCTAGTAAAATATTTACTAATTCGGAAAAACGTGGTCGTTTTAAAGGATCGTGTTGCCAGCATTTAGACATGACATTAAAATACTCTTTTGGACAACAATCTGGCTGTTCTAATCTCTAAAAATTACTTAAAAATTTAATTACATCAAAGATATTAGAATAAACAAATAAATTATGTAATTGTAAAAAGCTACTAAAATTTGTTTGTACTCTCAATTTTAATCAATTCATCACCAAAGATTTTTTGGAATAAAAATTAAAATCTATGTTAATTTTTTAAATTAATTTAAACACCTGAAAATTTGGCTCATCTATAGCTTCAAGTATTTGTTGTCCAGTTAGTGCTGCCCAGGGTTGAAAACCATAACTGAACATTTCCCATAATGTAACTCCATAAGCCCATACATCAGAAGCTGAAGTAAACCGTAAATAACTTATACACTCTGGTGCACACCTATATTAAAATTATTTTATATAATTATACAGTGAATTAAAATCAAAACAAATAATATATAACTTACCAAGCGATTGGTAGTTTTAAATTAACATTAAAATTTGTTTGATAGTAATCTTTACCCACACCAAGAGCTCGTGATAAACCAAAATCTGATATTTTGACTTTATTTTTTGTAAATACTAAAATATTTCTAGCAGCTAAATCTCTACATGAAAATTTTAAATGTTTTATAAATATAAAAAATTACTAGATAAATGAAAAGTTAATCATGACATCAGTATATGTTACAAAAAATATATTTTTTAAGAAACAGAGAAAAACAAATTGATTTCTTTGGAATCACCATCTCTACCTTATTTTCTAATTTATTTTAAAAGTACTTATGTATTTTTGAAAAAATATATTTGTTAACATATACCAAATTGTTTACAAGATTTTCAAATATAGAAGATGTTTACCTATGAATAAGTCTTTTAGTTTCTAAATAATGCATTCCATTACATATTTGAGTAGCAAAATCACATAATGACATAACTGGGAAACTTGCTCTAAGTGTTGGTTCTTTCAAACATTCTAATAAAGATCTAAGAGGAGCTAATTCTGTAACCTAAAAAAATTCAATCAATAAAAGTTCTTTTAGCAATTTCTTAATTGGTTATTTACTAGCATTAATGCATCTGTATCCAAAACAACTCCATATAATCTAACAATGTGTTCATTATCAATACTATGCATAATTGCAGCTTCTTTTAGAAACTCGATAGGATTGTTCTGCATTCGTTCACGACTCAAACATTTTATGGCAACTTGAATCTAAAATAGGCATCAAACTTTAAACAAAAAGTGTGCACATTGGACCTATAAGTCTGAATGCATAGGCGTTCATACCCACCTCTATAACAACTAAAGCTAAACTTTAAACAAATCAATTAATAGAATTAATATAATAGTAAAGTTAACACTAACTCTATCCCCTTCATTAGTCCAAACACCCTGTTGTACTACTCCAAATTCGCCAACTCCTAATTCTTTATTTATAGTTATTGAATCAGCTGGAATAATGTGTTTATTGGGAACACGAGCTGGAGGTCGTTTTTCATAAATAGGTTTTAATGAATCTTGTGAACCTGAACATTCATTCCATTGATCTTTAGTGTCTTTTGATGTTATCAACTAAATACATCATTTATTTATTAATTATTTAAAAATTTTACTCAATTATCTAAAACATTTTTAAATTAAAATACCTTTTTAAATTTGGAAAAATAATTTTGAGGGTAATGTTTTTGGAAGTATTTCTTTAATCTTCTTATTTCTGGTTTTGTCATTCCAATTTGATACAGATCATCTTCCGTAACAAACTTAACTTGAGGAACAGTCATCACCTAAAATAATTCGGAAGTTAGTTCTATAGAATTTATGGATATTAATAACTTAAATTATTATTTTTGTTACTTTCAGATCATTTTTCAACTCGGAATAATACTGATGAAGTTCTGCTTCCAAAAGAAATTCATACAGATCAATAGCTTTAGACATTTTAAGTTCTAGGAAATATAGAAAATTTAAAAAAAGGTAAATTTATTATCGATTAATATATTTAATATATTAAGCTAGAGTACTTACTTTAAGACAAGTCCTTAATATTTTAATATGAACTCCATTAAAATCACTTACAACATCTTTAACAGCATTGAATTAGCCGAAGTAAAATTAATTAAGTATTTGACAAGTTCCATTTAACACTAATTATGCATACAAAGCAATATTTATTATTATTGTTGTGATTTCCTACACTAATCTAAATCTAATCTGAATTCGTATTATTCTTTTTATTTGGACTAGAATATTTATATATATATATATATGCGTGTGTATACACATTTATCATCATGTTACTAATTGTTATCAACGGAGGAACCAACATTACAAAATTTATTACTAACAAATGATTATTTAAAAACAGTAGCACAGTGTGGACGTGGCATAGTTAGGATAAGTATAGATGATATCAAACATTGATTAAAATCACTATCATAAGAAACGGTTCAATGCAAATCTGTAGATAGGGTTTAATTTTAAAAAAATTGAGCGATTAATCCAAAAGCGACATGAACTCACGAACATTTTCTTAATTATATCGCAGATAAGATAACCTTATCTGTAATTATTTCCTGATTGCCAGTTTTTTCATTTATAAGTATAACATGAATAAATACTTATTGTAGTAGTTAAATTTGATATTATAGTGATATTCAATAATTTAATATTTTATTTTTACGAAAAAACTATAAAAAATATTAAAGTAATTGTATTTTTCATTACTTGTATGACAAACGTGTTTAAAAATTAAAGGGCTTGATGTAATAATTTAAAAAAATATATATTTATTACTTATGAATAAACAAATTGGTCTATAAGAAATTTACATCAACAACTAGAATATACTTTTATACATACATTTATCGCCGAAACTAAATTTGTAATTAGATTTTTTCTATCTATTTTTTTTTTTTGAGATAATTACTAATTATTAAAAAACGAGTACTTAAATATTAAAAAAAAAAAATTTAAGATCTAGTATCATATCAAACCTAATTTGGCTATAAATACTTTAAAAACATTAGGAATGAATTATTTTAATTGTCTATATGGAGAATGTGACCTAAGTATCTTTTTAACTCATAAAGAGAAATTTTTTTTCAATTTTTGAGGGTAATGTCTTCCACTAGGTACGACTAGTGATCTTTTAACGTATTGTTGAAAGAAATCGGTTCAGTGAGTGCTGAAAAAAGTGGTAACAGACGCAAAAAAAACACATCATAGTAAAATTAATACCTTATTCGCATCGAAGCTAAAAGAAGACTGAAGTTTAATTTTATCAAAAGTGGGTGATAATTTTGAAAATTCTAAGGAAGATGATAAATATGAATTTTTATTTAAACTTAGTGTTGATGAAGAGGATATTAAGAGCTTAGATGGAGAATATGAGAATATTTTAAGGTTTTTTTAAATTATTAATAATTTTGTTTTTTTTTTTGTGTGTCTTTATTTTCAATAGAAAATATACATAAACATTTAATGTTAAACAAAAGTACTAAAAAAAAAAATAGATATTGATTCATATGATTTATGGACTGAAACCACATAGTTTAATATCTGTTAACAATGTTAAAAATTTTAATAACAACATGGGAACTTTTACGGAAACTACGATGTCCCAAGAGCAGATGACAACGGGAAAACAAACTATTGTATTTATTTTTCAAGTGTATACATCGAACAAATTTGACTGTATTCAAACAAGCCATCGTTTAATAACCGAATGCATGTATATGTTTATAATGTTATAAAATAAAATAAATAATACAAAATTTTTAAATATTGAACGCAGCTTTACTTTGTTTAAAAAACATTTGACATTATTATTTTACAAATAAAAAATTTGACTCATTTTATGAGTGAAGAAAAAATGATAGAAAAAGAATAACATTGTATAATGGTTTTCGAAAACAAAATAATGAAATTATATTAAAAAAATAATACTAACATGCAAAAATAAAAATAGATGAAACGAGTAAATATGCAGAAAAAATAATAATGAAAAAAGAAACTGAAAAAATTCAACAAAAAACATACCACATATATGCGGAAAATAACAGTAATCAAACGTTGAAAAACTGTCAAACTCCGACCTATGTGAAACTCTGTAAGGAGCGGTTCGCGACGAAAAAGCTCGGCCTGCCATGCAAATCATGTTACACTCCTTCATTAAACGCTTGTTGCGAGTTGCATACGTCTCCATCATGAGCGGCTGTCTTGCCTTTCGAATACACTCCAATCGTATTCTAAAAGACTGGACGCCTCATATGACAACGAAACGATCAGTTCTCTGATTTTCGCACATCGAGAGGTGGTATCTGCAGCGGCACTGAGTGGATGATCGGTCCTACAAGTCGAACTCGGCGCCAATCGAATAGATCATCCGTCGATAGCTTTTCAGCGTCCATGAACAGTCCAATCAACTTGTCTCGGCCTTCGATCTGCCTTACAAAACGAGAAATAACAGCAGACTGTAAAATTTCTTAGGACGTTACTGTACATAAAGAAAAACATTATCTGGTCACTTAGCGACCGAATTGTTATAATAGTTCACTCTGCACATTCAATTTTATTTTCAAATAGTTTACATTATTTTACGTTTCAAACCAGCGTCTTTTATTTTAAGGTACTAAAATTAATTCCTAGTTAATATTTTTAATAAAATTTTTGCTAATTTGTTATATTTTATTGTGATATGCGACTCAATTTATATGAATTATTTTAATCGATTTTATATGCACTACTTGAACACAAAACTGGAATGTCCTCAAAGGCAATATGCCTCCGAGTCACTTAAAAACAGTACAGTTTGAGCTAACTATTTTTAAACACAGCAAAAAAAAAAATAATTGAATGGGTATTTCTTCCAATTGATAGTTACTACTAATTATTTGTACATTAGGCCATTATCCCTCTAATTCATGTCTGTATAAATATAATTTTTAAATTGCACTCAAGTTTTAGTTAGTATAAAAAATTCAATTAAAGTGTTATATTAAAAAGTTGGATACATTAGATTTGACAATTATCATTTATATTGCATTTACAGTAGTCTCTATTCTATGAATTAATTGCAGTGAGTTATACAAAATATAACATATCTTTTTAAGTAACAATAAATGAATTTACTAGAAATTACCAATTCATTCAACATTTAGATGGTTTAAGTACAATTTCTTAATATTTAAATAGCATATTACAATATTTTGAGTTTTTGAACATAAGATAACTAATATTTTTAGCTTCGATACCAAGCTGAGAAGGTATTAATTTTACTATGATGTGTTTTTTTTTTGTGTCTGTGAACGCTCAATCTCAGCTCTTGCTGGACCGATTTTGTTAATATGATTTTGAAATAAATTATTTTATTAAAAACGTTTAAATAAATAAATCACAAAAAAAAAAAAAACTTAATTTTTGTTAAATGCATAATAGGAGAATATTATAGGATATACTACTTAAAATACGGAATAATTAACACAAGTTAAAACCAAATAGTTTTTATTTTGTGAAAAAAAAAACAAATTATTTCAATGGAATAAACCTAGAGCTGTGAGTGGCACCAATACCAGGCCTTCCATGTTTGACGGGTTTGTATGTGACACTAAATTCACCCAAATAATGCCCAATCATTTCAGGCTGAAAAATAAAATAAATTAATAATACAAAACATTTACTTGACAAAAAAATAATAGGAAAATTTATATATATTAAGTTTTTTAAAGCAAATAAATTTAATTCAAGTTGTTTTAATAATAAGTTTAAACAACAATATACTATTGAATATACATTTAGTTAAATCATTAACCTACTATGAAAATAACTTGACCTTTGTGCTGACAGGGATTGAGATTTAAAGACAAGATCCTTACTTACATTTCAAAATTAAATACTCAAGTTAACTGTTTACTCCATTTAGAAGGAATAAAGAAGTTTTAATTCACGTTTTGTTTCTTTTTTGAAAAATATTGAAATTGCTTAATTTTATAATAAGACAAGGTTAACAATAAGCACAATAAGTAAATTTAATTTTAAAAAGAAAACTTTTCATTTAAAAAGGTACAATAGAAATTATTTTTAAAATAACTTAAGTAAATAGCTTAAGGTAAATTTAATATAATTAAAGAAATATATTTTTACCTAACAAAATATAACATTATAAATAACACAACAAATGATTTTTAACTAATAATTATTGTATTAACTATTTTCATAAGTGTATCATTTGGTAAATTAGTAAAGTGAAATGCAGTGTGAAATGAAAGAGTGTCTGCTATATATTTGGACGTGATAACATTCATGATTGTCCATTAGAAGAAATTATATCCAAGTATTTTGTTTCAATAATTCAAATACTTATGTTTGTATCCCCGCTATATTTTAATTTATTAAATATTATTTATCATAATTTGTTATGACTCGTTTGTAAAAATTTGATATTTTGGTAAATGGTCAAATACTCATATTATCACAAGATTATTTTCATCAAATTGATTTGTTACACTTACTATATTTAACAATCAAACAATATGAAGTAATATTAAAATTTATTGAAATGCAATTTCACACTTGCCTAAATACATTTGTAAACGAGGTAGTTGTATTATTGCTTTTGTAGATTTTATTAATTGAAAATATGATATTCTTAATAAATAATCTATATAATAACCTTATTTTATAATTTATTGTTTACTTTGTCTAATGACCTATACAATATAAAATGTCAATAAATCAGTAAAAACAAGAAACTTAAACAAGACATAGTTTGAATTATATAAATGCATTTGTCCCTTTATTGGGACAAGTGCAACACTCGCTTTTTTTTACTTTAATAAGAACCGGAAAGTTGAATTTTAATTTATTTTAACTTTTTTGTATAAACCCAGTTTACATTAATAGATGTTATATCATACATCATATTATTTAAAAAAGGAATAGTGGTAGAAATAGTATACAAATAATTTATAACCACCAAGTAAAATAATAAAGCATACAGACTTGCTCTATCACAACTTTTACTAATAATGACATTAGCAAAAAATAATATTTTAAGTATAAACTAAAATTTAATGTATCTTGATCAGTTATAACAGTGAAAAATTAAGAAATTAAATATTTTAATTTGTAAAATACCTTAATTTCAATTTGGTTGAAAACTTTTCCATTGTAGACTCCAATAATACTGCCTACCATTTCAGGTACAATGATCATGTTACGTAAATGAGTTTTGACAGCTTCCGGCTTTTCCATAGGAGGCGCTTCTTTCTTTGCCCTACGTAATTTCTTAACCAATGCAGATTCTTTACGCTTAAGACCACCGCGGGAGAAACGCCTGCGTGCTCTTGAATGTAACAATTCAATCAATTGTTCGCTAAAATAAATTAATGTGATTGAAATCAGAACGTTAAAAACTGGTATTACAAATGAATTAATTATTTATACCCTTGGATATCTAAAAGTTGGTCTAAATCAACACCACGGAAAGTGAACTTACGAAATGGCCTTTTGGCTTTATGTTCAACTTCAGGCTAAAATGAATAAAAAATACTTGAATATTAATAACATAAGTAGTGGTGATAAAATATGAATTAAAGTTTTGGTTGGGTTACAAACGACAATATTATTCATGGAATGAATATTTAAAGTTCATGTTATCTTGAAAAAGAAATATTTAATTTTAAGAAAATTAATACAACAATTTAATTAATCAAATACTTACAGCAGCATCAGCCATTTTGTTGAATATTTAAAATAATTCAATACAAAACTTAAAAAACGTGGCTAAATATACGCAGTCTTGAACGTAATCGTCAAAAAGTAGAATAGAGAATTCTATTCACAATATAACCTATAAAATAAATAATGTATTGTATTGTGTTACCAGCGTCTACAGTTTAAAAACTCTTTGAAAATGAAAATAGTGAATGATTATTATTAGCTAAGTAGATTTTTATAACAGAACCATGGTATTAGTGATAAGAATTCAATTCGATTTTTATATTTTTTTTTAACCAAAATTAAAATTTTACATGATTCACGTTATTTGAGCATAGTTGATGTTCGTTTTAATATTTTTAACGGCTTGTTTATTCAAGTAAATTATGTATAAACCATCACAGTTAGAAGTGGAGTGCTGGAAGGGGGATTGGGGACTTCCTTCAATTGATTACAAATGTTTAGAAGTTCTAGTAAGCAAAAAAATAAAAAAATATTTTTGTTACATTAAGAATTGATTCTTATTTTAGGCATTCGCTAGGTTTACTAATGCTCCAATTAATATTAATTATTCAAATAATCCATTAAGAGGTAATAAAGGTCATTTACCAAATGTTTGTTTTAATAAAAAAATAATTACTAGGAGAGAACAATTAATTGATTGTCTTGAAAAACAAGTAAAAAAATAATTTATTTTAGTACTTAAAATCATATTTGATTTTTTCACTTATTATATAAACTCTTAGAATCTTACTCCAGATTTTGGAATGTCTAAACAACAACTTGCTGAAGAACATGCTGCTATCAGCATATTAGATGCTCAACTTGAACCAGCTTTACTTTATGCTTGGTAAATATTATAAATTAATAATTATATATTATTGAAACAGTATACGAGGTGTGACAATAAAATAACGAGACTTTCTAAATATATCCTAAACTATTAACGTTATCTATAATACTATTATTGAAATATGATTAGGAAACACTTATCTAAAAGTACTATAAACAATAATGAAATCGGTTAACTTTCTTATACGTTAGTAACCTTGTTATTTGTGCAAATTCGACTATACTGCCGAAAAATGTTAGATATAAAAATCGAACAACGTGTTAACATTAAATTTCTTGTTAAATTAAAAAAAACTGCCGCAGAATCATTTCGTATGTTATGTGAAGTTTATGGTGAAGAATATTTATCAAGAGCTCACGTTTTTTAATGGCACAAACGGTTTTACAATGGAAGAGAAGACGTGGAAGACGATGATNTTTTGCAATGGAAGAGAAGACGTGGAAGACGATGATCATTCTGGACGTCGTACCACATGTTCAACAAACGAAAAAGTCAAAAAAATTGACAAAATTATTCGGCAAGATCGTCGATTAAGTGTTAGAGCTGTAGCAGAGATGGTAAATTTTGATAGAGATAGTGTTCGTAAAATTTTAGTTGAAAATTTAAATATGAAAAAATTGTGTGCTAAAATGGTCCCTAAAAATTTGACGATTGATCAAAAATTCAATCGCAAAGAAATTTGTTCTGACACCTTAAAAATGATCAAAGATGATCCATCTTTTATAAATAATATCATTACGTGTGATAAAACGTGGATTTTTACATATGATCCTGAAACTAAAAGGCAATCTATGCATTGGAAGACATCAACTTCCCCAAGAATGAAGAAAGCACGAATGAGCAAGCAATGCTCATTGTTTTCTTTGACATTAAGGGAATAATTTTTGTTGAATGGGTTCCTAATGGGCAAACTGTTAACCAATATTATTATAAATATGTATTAATTAAATTAAGAGAACGTGTTAGAAAAAAGTGACCAGATCTGTGGAAGAATGGCTGGGTTCTTCACCAAGACAATACTCCAGCTCACAGTGCATTTTCAATTCAAAGTTTATTAAGTGAAAAAAAAATTTCTATAATTCAATATCGCCCGTACTTGCCAGACCTTGCTCCTTGTGACTTCTTCTTATTCCCAAAAATTAAAAGTTTTTTAAAAGGAACCCATTTTCAAACGTTTGATGACGTAAAAATGAAAATGGCAGAACTTCTAAAAGGGCTAACTGAAAGCGATTGGCAATATTGTTTTCAAGAATGGCAGCGACTTATGCAACAGTGTGTTGAGGCTGAGGGAAGGTACTTCGAAGGTGACAATCATTAAATTGTAAAATATTTAAAATAAATAACTTTTATTAAAAAAGTCTCGTTATTTTATTGTCACACCTCGTATAATAAATAAATTACTATTTTATTATTCTTTCATGTATATACTATTTAAGTAGCTATATTTATTTAAAATAAAATAAATTATATATAGGTGGTTAGATGAAAATAACTGTCATAGCTTTACTAAACCATGGTATAGAAGTACACTAAAATTTCCACTTAACTGGTACTATCCAAATTTTTATGAACGAGCAGCTAAACAAAAAATTCATGCATTATATAACCATTTAGAAACTGATAATGATATTATGATTGAGGTAATATTACATATAATTACACTAAAGAACAATTTTAATTTAAAATAACTGTACAACATAATCAATGAACTCTTGTACTACCATTTTTTAGATCTATGGAGAAGCTATTAAATGCATTAATAGTTTAGAGAGCCGCTTGGGAAATAACTTCTACTTTTTTGGATCTCATCCTACGTTATTAGATGCAGTTGCTTATAGTTATTTGGGACCTTTGTTAAAAGCGCCATTAACAGATAATAAGATACAGATACATATTAAAAAATGTAAAAATTTATGTTCATGGATTGATAGAATAACTAGAGAATATTTCAAGATTGATTGGCAAGCACATATATGTAACGAAAAGAAGAAAAAGGAAGAATCTAAACAGATGGGTATTAATAAACCCTGGTATAAAAAAGATGAAACTAAAAATGTTTTGATCGCACTAGCTGCTTTAGTAACAATGGTTATGTATTCATTTAAAATAGGACTCATTAGTGTAAGTAATAATAATACTAACAATATTTTCTATTAATTATTAGCATGTTGAATAACTGTTAGATAAATTGTATAGATTTTAAACTTTAAATATTTTTAACACCAGTGTTATAAAACAAAAACAAATTATTTGGTCCAACATTTTTGCCATCCCAATAACTAAAATATTATTAAAAAATATGAATACATATTGTTTAATTAATAGTTATAAAAATATATATGATCACCTAAAGCATAAGAGGTCAAGTTACATTTCTGGAAAATGTAAATTAAAACACAACAAAATTCTCAGCTTCGCATCGAAGCTAAAAGTAATTTATTTTGTGTGAATAAAAAATTAAAGTAGATTTTTGAAATATAGTTTAGTTTAGGAATATTAGTTCCCTAAATTAAATATAATAAAACAATATCTTATAGATTTTTAAATTTTTTTATAAAAATATCTCGGTGTCAATTTTTATCACTTAGATTCTTTTACTCTGGGTCTCATACATAAATCCAGTCTAAATGACCATGTGTAATAAATATTGAAATTTTAGTTAAGGGTTTTATCTCCAATAAAATTATTTTTGAAAAATTTTAAATTAAACATTTTAATGTCAGATATCTTTTCACTAACAATTTTTAAATAATATAATATATTTTGTTTATAGGTAAGTGATACGAGTGATGAAGAGGAAGAAGACGAGTAGAAATTATGACAAAATAAAAAACAATCACATTTTATTTGTAGTTGTCTTTGACTATTTATATATTTTATTTTCCAAGTTCCTTTTTTTTACCAATCATCAATAATTATTGAAATACTTGCTTTTAAACTTATATTTAAAACGCACACTGAGTGATTGACCTATACATTTATATTGTAAATAAAACAAATATTTTATTTAGTGTTTATAAATTGATGTTCAAAGTCATAAATTCCAACTGGTTGTCCTTCTTTTTCATCATAGTCCACCCATTCTTTTTCCTCTAAATTAATATCCTGAAATTGTGTATTACTTTCAATACCACGGCATTTAAAACCGTTTCTCGGTGAAAAATCTATTGATGAAGTGCCACGACAATCAAATGTCACAATGGTTTTAAATGTATTTGAATCGTCTACAGTGTACATTGATACTGATTCAGATATAATATCTAAAAATATACAAAGCCATAAATAAAAAAAATAAATCTTTTTAGATAAATTACAATGTTTTTTACCAACTGAACTTTCTCTAGAACACATCTTGCACTTAGTAACAAGATTAGCTTCTCCTCTACTACCTTTTATAGGAACCTTTTCCTAAAAACAAACAATTGAACATTTTATAAAATTTTATTTTAAGCATAACTTACTAAAATTGAATAATACTAACATCTTCAGACAAATAAATCCATTTTTCTGATTCCTGACCACAATTTGTACACTGGAACTGAAATTGTTAAAAAAAATTTAATTTAACTCCATATTATAATTTTGAAATCTATGGCTAAGTTTCTAACAAGTCAGTTGAAAAACAGTATTTTTGAACTTTTCAAATAAATAAGACCTAAAAGTCATACCCACAGATAGTATAATCTAAGTTTCTCTTAAAAAACTCTTCTTTTTGAGAAAATTTGAATTGTAATGGCAAAGCTCAAAGATTATTTTATAGTTATTGGTAAAGTTAGTTTTATTCTTTAAAAAACAAGCTACGGAAATAGTTTCTAATTTTACTAATTAAAACTATATCAGACAATTTAAAATAAATTATGTTTATAGATACCTTTAAATACCATCGGAAGTCTCTGCCTTCTGGGATTAAATCAGTCACATTCTCTAAATTTGCTTTAATTTGAAGTGAAATTTTCTAAATAAACAGATTTAGAAGAAAAAAAAATAACACACAACAAATTATAATTATTTATTAATAATAATGTTTGATATTTTAATCAAAATGATATATTATTTAAGCAATAGCTTATATATATTTAAGGGAGAAAACATATGAAACAATCATATATAAAACATATTATTAAAAAAACTTTAAATTCCAGTCGAAACTTACTAAAAGGTAAACAATTTAAATGATTATTCTTTAAGGATAAACAAATTTTGAATGCATTTATAAAATACTACTAATCAATGCAACTAAACTTTAAGATATCTTGATACACATTGAAAAAAACTTCTAATAATTTATCAAATAAATTTCTTGGTAGCATTAGCCACTATGTAATCAAAGAAAACTTCTAGACAAACCTCCCTGTAGTTATAATAATTAAATTTTTTTTCAATTTAATAACAAGTGTTTGCATATGATTTCGGTAGTAAATTTTAAAGAGTTTTTTTAATTGATTGTAATTACATATTGTAGATACTTTTGCAAAAAAGAAAAATATTCAGAGGGGAAATTCCCCAACTCTTATGTAAGGCGGTAATTTTTTTGATACCCACATACAGAAATTGTTGGGTACTCAATGACAATTTTATTTGCAATGTTTTATTACATGGTACAACTACTAAAATTTTAAAATTCCATAAAATTATGACTTACATATGAAGAAGTTCAAAGAAATATACATTTAAATATTAAATTAAAATTACATACCACCATTTTTAATTTTATACAAAATATTTAATATACTTAAATTTTTCTTAAAAGCTTCAATTGACTTATTTACAAATTGTAATTTGATAATATTGGACATAAGTGATAACAGATGTATCAAGCAGTATTGCAGAATTCAAAATGTCATATTACTGCCTTATTATAATAAAAATACCACATTATGCTATTAATTTACCACTCTATACACCCTACGTAAAAAAATTCTATATTGTCTAATATTTATATAGTAAATGTGATTTTTAAGGGACGGGAATATTTAATTTACAACGTTTATAGAGATGCGTAGTAATTTTGATACTCCCACCATTAATATTTAATAGTTATAGAAAGAAATCAGCAATATTAATATAAGAATGCTAACAAACTTTTTTTTTAAATTATTATCCAATAGTTAACAAAACAATTAATATAACAAAGCAAAGAAATGCTTTCTTGTTGAATTATATTTTAACAAATAAATAAAAAAAATACTCATATAAATAAATAAAAAAAAAAATATTCATAACAATTACACTTGGAATAGTAAGACACAATAAAATTATCATAAATAATTATAACGTATTGTGATATAATTAATTACATAGTAACATGATTTTATGGATAAAATTTTTGTTGACATACTACAAATATGTCACATTTTTTTCTTTAGCACATTTGTTACTAATCAAGTTAATTCTGGAAGAATTCTTCAATAGCAGCTAACTTTGGTTAAATTGATAAATAGTTAACAAAAATTATAATAAATAATAAGTGAAAACGATGTAGCATCTAAGACATCTAATTTCAAATTTTGTGAACATTTATATTGCATTTATGTAAATAATAATATAAAAAATTCAACTTTAAAGAAAATCAATTCTAAACATTTTGTTTTGTTATATGGAAAAGAATATATTTGAACACAATAAATAATTTTTCAAATAAATTAAAGATAGTTCCAGTAATTATAATAATTATAATTTTAATAGATATACCTTTAACAATTATAATTCTTTAAATTAAATTTTAATTTAAATGAAGCATAATTAAAAATGAAAATCAAGTAAAACATGTATTTCTTAATTTTGAAACTCTTCGGATTGTATAACCTTTGAGTAAGAATTTATCATTCTGAAGTCAACTCTATTAAAAGTTGAATCTAAGTACATGAAACTATTAATGTCAGTAATTAGTCGCTGGTCCCCATCGAAATTCATAACACAACAATCTAATTTTATTACTGAAACCGGCTCTTTAGAAGAATTATGAGCAAAAAACAAATTATCCATCTACCTCGTAAAAAAAAAGATATTCGCGTCTACTACACCGCTAATATTAATCAATAAATCTCTCGTAGTAGAACATTAATAACATTATTATCAATATTATTAACTATTTAGATTAATTCTAGAAATAATAAGACAATACATTTTACTCCCTACACATAAACTGAATAAAGTCGGCCCGTCTCACAGTGGAATGAAACGCCGATTTAGGCGACCAAAAGTATCATTTTTTAAGTCACTTAAATTTTTTTTTTTAGCAAAACACATTAATATCATACTTAAGGGTTTTAATACAAATTTTCAAGGGTATAAGTTGATTTAGTGAAGGTGTAGAGCTATTTTAATGTTATACTTCTAAAATTTATCCGTATTTTCAGTTATTTTGAGTTTATTTTTGTACATTTTTTTTTATGCCTTAAAACATAATTTAAAATTAAAAAATTTGTTTATTCCTATTAAAAAAGATATCCTTTTTCAAATGAAAAAGAAAAACAAAGATTTTTTTTTATTTTTGTGGAATTAAACATATTTATACTTAAAAAAAAATCGAATTTTTTCGTTTTTTTCTCTAGTTTGCTCGTATAAAGAAATTAACTAAAAATTACACGTTAATCCATACATGTGGCTTGTAGAGCAAGTCATTAGCTATACTATGAAAAAAAAAATTTTGCGCTCGATAATATTTGAACTGTACATACTGCATTTACCTAGAATAAACGAGTTTTTTCCTAAAAATCTTATGTTTTACAGGATTTTACTCTATAAATAAAATTAGTCATTATTTATTATTAATTGTTATACGATTACATTGATATATAAATATGAATATTTTAGTTTTATACATTTAAAAAATAATTATGCCATTGATAAATTCATGTCTGAAAATGAATCATTTAATTGACNTTTTACATTGATACATTATTATTACATTGATAAATTCATGTCTGAAAATGAATCATTTAATTGACTATTTAATTCATCTTCTTTATAGTTGTCATCATTATGAGGGAATATTACTAACATCAAGGCAACTTATTCTATAACTTAGAATATGGTAAGATGTTACATATATGATACAAACAAAAAGAAAATAATGTTATGCAGTTAACTAAAAATAATGTTTATATGTTAATTAATAATAATTTATTAGTTACTTTTTTAACAGATCCCTTATACATTTATAAGGGTATACATTTTTTTTTAATGGTAAAATACATTTTTAATTCACTTATAAAATAAAAAAAAATCTAATTAAGAAAAAACAGGTTGATTACAACTTTTGAACTAGTAATTTAAGTTATTAAAAGTTTTAAATATATTTTGGAGGTGAGATATAAAATATGTTAATTTTATCCTTGCGCATTACTCAACGTGCTCTTTTCCATTCTATTTTTAAAAATGTTAATAATTTCCGAAGTAATAGTTCAAAAGTTGTTATCGACCAGTTATTTTCTTATTAGATCTTTTTTTTATTTTATAGGGTATAATGAATGAATTGAAAAAATACTGAATAATTGATAAATCAAGAAATATATGAAACTAAAAAATACAGAAAAGAAATTTCTGAACATAATTATTATTTTAAAAATAATTCAGTGGTTAAAAGAATCACTCTGCATTCATAAATAACTTTATTCATAATAATCATGATTAATTACTTTAAATAACTTTACAAATTGCCTCACAGAACTCTAGTTCTGGTATTCATCAAAGTTGGTTTATAGACATACCTTAATGAAGACGTCAAAAAAATTTATTTTATTTTTTAAAATAAATATTAGATTTATTAACATGAAATATTATGCTATATTTTTCACCGATATTACGTTAATAAGGATAAAGTAGTTATTTTTATGTGTACCGATTGTGTTAACTTATTGTAATTTTGCAAACATGTACATTGAAGGAGATTTTAGAATTTTCATTCTAATAAGAAACTCAATTACAATGTGCCGCTAATGAATTTGTCCTGCAAAAATGTTGTTTAAATGAATCATATTCATTCTCAATTTATCATATTTGCTTTTTAAAATTTTAATATTTAATTCCTAATAATATTATGCACTAAAGCAGTGGTCGGCAACCTTTTTTAATTCTCGGGCCACATTTACAAATTAAAAAGAGTTCGCGGGCCAGATAAAAAAAAAAAATTTATAATTACATTATTTATTATGCAAAAAAATACTATCTAAAACTTAAAATAATAATATGACTTATATAAAATACCCGTACCAAAAACGCAACGTTCAATTATATTTATACAAAATGATATTCAATTAAATTAGTCGATTTAGAATTTAAAGCGGGCCGTATTCAATAGCCACGCGGGCCGCCGGTTGCCGACCATTGCACTAAAGCTCTACAAGGAATTTAATTTTCAACTTTTTGAATATCTTTGTGAAAATCACTTTCACATCCATTAATTTTTATATTATTAAGCATTTTAACAGAAATACAATTCAATAAAGAATACTCTTTATCAAACATATCATGTTTTAATTCCATTGAATAATATTATTCCAGAGAACACCTATAAAGTATTCATTTTGATCAAAATTTACTGTGTAAACAAAAAAATATTCATTATTTTTAATTATTTTTTTAAGTTGTTTTACGATTTATAAAGCAGTTACACTAGAATAAAAGTATCTTTCTGAATATTATCAGAGGAGAATTTAAACTTTGGTTTCCCTAGCTGATAAACTGTTGATAGAACAGTACAAAAAAGATTACTGTAAATCATTATTAAATTGCATTATGACGAGAAATGTATTATATTTTTCTAATAAAGTAATATTAAAACAAAAAAAAATGGTTTTCATTATAGAACATTACATAGTCATGTTATCTTGACCTGAATATGCCTGTTGTCTATTAATGGTTATACCAACTTATACATTTAAACACATATTTCTATTTAATTTATATGAGTTCAAAATTAAGGATTAAAACGTCCCATGAATATAATATCATTCTTTTGACTAGCAATTACAAACATGAAAGGATGATCTGCATGAAAATTAACAGCTCGATGACCAGCTAAGGGTTGAATATATACTCCTAAAAAAAAAAAAAAATAAAAAAAAATAAAAATAAATTTTAGATATTGCACATAAAATATTAAAAAATAACATTTATTTTAAATACAAGGGAATCTTATTAATAATTTAGACTATATCTGGACCACTGGAATAACAAACCAAAATAAAAAATGGTAGCACAGTAGGGTCGAGGCATAGTATGGATATGGTATAGTTGGAATAAGTATAGATGATATCTGATAGTATTTAAAATCACTATTATAAGAAAAGCTTCGATATAAATTTGTATATACTGTTTAATTCTATGAAATTTGTAAATTATTACAAAAAAAACATCAACTCCTAATTCCTTAATTATATCCTATTAACAGTTCTTTTCTTTAAAATTATAATATTAAAATAAATTCTAATTAAAGTAATTAAACTTAGTATGAAATTGTTATTCAATAATTTAATATTGTAATTTTTACGGAAAAATTATAAAAATAATAAAATAGCTATTTTATCGCAAACTTGTATAAAAATTGAAGAGCATGATACAAAACTTTTTAGAAAATAATTTGTTAATTATGTATAAATGGTAAAATCAGAGTAAAAAATATGCATGCTTCACTAAATCATCTTTTCGCACTGTTTTTAAATCTACAATTAGACTTTTTCTATCACTTATAATTTTTGATATTATTACTTATTAGTAAAAAAATAAGTAAAAAAGACCGATCCCAAGTAGTTGGGATTAAGGCAAGGAAAAAGAAGAAGTAAAATATGAATATTTACATAAAAAAAAATTATTAAATACAAAAAAAAAAAAATTGTTTTTTAATTATTCATTTTGATTTTTAATATGTGTAAAAATTATCCATGCATAATGTTAATTTAAATCTATTTTTTTGGTCCTTTAATGTAGGTTTTTATAAATGTGTATAATGAACTTTTTACCATAATTTTTTTTAGTTCAACTTTCAAGTTTAAAATCTACATAATTAAATAATAAATTATATGAGAATTATAAAAACTCTATTTTTAAAATAAGTATGTTATCCAGAAAATTTATAATTACTATTTACAGAAAATTTATGAAAAAAGCTCAATATTTTTTTGCAATTTGATCGTAAGAGATCACTTAAATAGAAATAATATTAATCATTTTTAAGTAACTTTTGGTGTTTAAAATGATTCTACAAAATATTCAGATAATTAATATCTGAAATATTCAGAACTTAATTAATTTGTATCATTTAATTTAACTAAAAAAAACCAATCAAGTTGTTTTCAACTGAGCGTATTATAAAATTATAGTTATATTGATTATAATTATAAAAATCTATTGTTAAATTTAGGTGAAATTAAAAGTCGTTTTTCTTTTAGAAATTATTTATACTGAAACAAGTCACCAAAATATTTTAAATATTATACACTGGTAGTAGTAGGGCATACATATAGAGTTGCAAAATTAATAAATTAAAATAATATGAAATAAAAAGTATAATTATTTAATATTGTAGTGAATCATATTATAATATCAAACCTAATTCGACAATAAATACTTTAAAAACAATGATTTTAATTGTCTATATAGAAAGTGTGGACTAAGTATTTTTAACTGATAAAGTGATAATTTTTTTCAATTCTTGAAAAGTATTTCAGAGTCTAACTATTAAGATTCATTTGTAGTTAAGGACCATTTTCTTAATATGTATGTATTCAATTATAAATATTTATATATATGGTCTTATAGTAAGACTTATATAGTACATAAACCCTAATCCAGCAAAATTTAATATCCAATTATTTAACTAATAAATTTTAATGAATTTTTAATATTCAACATTAGCACCTGTGCAAGTTCAGGAAAACATAGGAAGTTTAAAATTTATTATGTATAAGTTAACTCTAATCATCCATAGTAACTTATCTTAGAAAGATGATATTATATGTGTTTCCAAACATAATGTGATTATAATATTCATGAGTTGTCTAATTGCAAGAGAACGTATTTCCATAAAATATTTTTTTTATACATACGTCCTTCTTATGCAACTGGATGACTCACTTAGCATAAAAAAAGAGAGAATGTAAGATGTTTTCATTGTCCACTTTGGACTTAGTAAAAATTTGTTATTCATTTTTTATAATAAAAATAAAAATTTATAATAATTATGATAAAATTTTCAGTTTAATACCTGTAGAAGACGCAGCTTCAGTTCCATCTTTATTAACTTCAATATACGACTTATGAACAATTTTATTAACGAATAATGTTTTTTCTAATGAAACAAGTATATTTGAAAAGTTTGCATTTTTTGTAAACATTGTAGAACAACCCATCTTAAAAATCAAATAGAAAATTGAAATATAAAGGGTAATCTGAGAATTATGCATCACTCAATTACTCGTAATATAATAATTTTGAGGATTTTCATTGTTTATTTATCCTTTAGCATTTTAATTTTTTACAAATCTTTGTTTATCTGATATAATAATTTAAATTTATAATTCTTGGAATATAGTTATAGTTTGGTATACACTATTATCAAGCATGAACATTGGTATATACTACCGAGCTATTTATTGATTGACAACAGTTATTGTCAATTATTGGTATACTAAAGACTGTTTTACTTATTAGAGTGTTACTCATAACTAAACTCAAAGAATTAAAACATTAAATTATTATATAAAATAAACAAAGGTTTGTAAAAATTTAAATGCTATAAATTAAAAAAATAGAGTTAACACCAATATAATGCATAAGGGATGAACTAAAAAAAATACTTAATGATGGAAAATACAAAAAAAAATTTTCAAATTATTATTATTTTAAAAGTAATTGAGTGGTTTATGATTCACAGATTACCCTGAACTAAGCACAATTGTCTTACTTCAATTAATGTGTTTTTTAAATCATATGAAAGTTCAAGTTGAAATTGAGGTAATTTAACATTGACATCAAAGGTCTTCAATTTTTTTGTTAAATCCTTTATATTTATTTTAGATAAATTTAACTCAAGATTTCTCAAACCATCATTTGCATCAGGTAACATAATAACCATTTTAAAATTATAGTCCTAATAAAATAAAATAATAATATAGATTAATTAATATTAACGACCTACCACCATAATCTAACCAAAGTATTTTTTTTCATGAGAGCCACTTGATTTCTTTTAAAATACTAAGATTTTTGGATTTAGTTAGTTATCTCTATGTATTTAAAATAAAATAATTTTTAAATCTACCATTTAAAGAGGTGTCAACTTTATTTTTATAAATGTCGACATAAGCATTAAAATAGCTTATAAAATAGAAAATTATCTAATTAAGAAATTTAAATGGCTGACAGCAACTTTTGGATCAGTGCATCAGAGGATATTCACAATTTTACACCTAGGCATAAGCTGAGTGGTCGAAAAATGACATGTTAAAAATTGGCCATTCATTTTCTTAATTAGATAATTTTTTATTTTGTAAGCTAATTTAATACATATGTTGCCATTAAAAAAAATTTATTTAACACCCCTACAAAATATAAGAAATGGAAATACATAAATAACTAACTAAATCCAAAAAACTTATTATTTTAAGAGAAATCAAGTGGCTACAAATAAAACAGCCACCAGTATATTAAATAATACAATGTAATAACAAAAAAAGATTATTAGACATTTTGATGACTGGGATTTGGTCTTTTGATTGTTATTTCCCTAGTATAGATTAATGCACTAGCACAGAAATTTAATTCAATAACATTAAGCTATGAAAGTTTTCTTGTCCACATCATTCAAAGATGTACCATATGAAAAAGAAGATATAAGAATAGTCTACATTAAGTTTTAACAAATTTAGTTTTAAATTGTGAGGTCTAACTTATTTTAAAAATGTTCGATTTTATCACAGCAATACTTAAAAAATAATGAAAATGATCATAAAAATTACTTTGTAAGGTAATTCAACAACTGAATACTTTAATATCTTATCATGAAAGTAATTTAAATGTCTGTTTAAATTCATCATTGAAACATATTTTTTTTGGCTTGGTGATATATAAAAAAATTCATTTTGAATATTGCTAAACTTGTATTGCCAGCTGCTGTTAAAATGAACAGCATTAGCTAATATTAAACTAGAATCCTTACTTATGGAACCTGAAAAAATGACATTAAATTAATCAAAGAAGAGATAAATCAAGATTTTTAATACTACCAAAAGGCAATAAATTATTAATTCTTCCATTTGTTTTACTTTCAACCCATTTATTTATCAAAATACGTTGATCTTCTGCTTTTTCTTTAAAATTTAACTTTGCAGTTGTAGATTTTAAATAATGACTAGTGTTTTCAACATACTTATGTTTTATTTTAAATGAATCATCAATAAAAATACCAATAGCAAACTTCAATACATTATTTTCCTAATAAAATTTAAAAAAAATGTAATATATTAGTAACACTGAAATAAAAGTTTTTTTTTATATATAGATGTTTTCCAAAAGTTGTATAATAATTGAAATCTTTTACTGTAAGATCATCTAACAACTGTTCATAATTTTCTAATAATTTAGTAGAATTTTTTTTGGTAAGATGTATTGTCTTCAGTATTTCATCATAAGTCTGAGTAGCTGCTCCAATGCTTGCCATAAACATAACTATATGAATACTTATTGGAGAAAAAAAAATACTGCCATCTAGTTCGCTTAATTTCTAGTTATTAATATAAACATATAATTTAATAAATATATTTTTAAATAAATTCCATTATGTGTTACCGAGTAAAGTTCAATTGAGAAATCATTATTCGACAAACTAATCGATTCAACATTATTTAACATAACTTCCATTATTTTCAACTTTCATTAAAAAAAATATTTATAAGTATCAGTATGGATTATTTTTGTTGTAACGATTTGACTACAATAGACATATAATTGTGATTAAATTTTTAATTATAAGTAGGTAATTCTATAATGATAATATTAATTATACAAATTATTATTTTAGTTAGATAACAATAAAATTACATTTAATTTTTAATACTTCTGAACTTAAATATTTTATTTTGTATTATGTTTATCATAATAACTTGTAATGATCTTCTAAAATGATTTCATTAAAACTACAAATTAATATTTTATTCTGGGATTTCCATAAATGACTCATTGTTTTTTAATAGGTAAATAGTTCGTTTCTCGTGATAAGTTGGTCATAATTTTTTTAAATAAATAGATAATTAACATAATATCCACGTTAATGATTTTTAACGATCAGTATAGCCAATATTATTAAATAACATATAGTCGGTTAATATTATGAAATTTACTAAATAATGTAAATTAGACCAAGAGTCCAGACATTTTATTAAAGAATAGATCATAACCATATGCACAGTTTCAAACTAAACTTTTAGGACATTTTACTTAAATTTTCTCCTTTTTGAAAATATTTCCATATGAATTTAAATGTAATTTTCATAATTATTTTAAGAAAAGGGGAGCTGTTACAGAATTAGGGAAGCTAGGCTGCTTTTAGACCTTCCGAATTCTACCAACTAATCCATGATTTTATGCAATCTTCATTACTGCTATAGATGCTATAACAAATAGACCCGTAAAATATAATTATTTTTGTATTCAGGATAAGTATTTGAAATAACCCAGCACATTGGGGTCGCGACATAATGGGGACGTGGCATAGTTGGATCCATTTTTACAAAAATCTTATTTTTTTATTAACTTTAATGTTAGTTTTCACCATGAAGACAAAATAAAGTCCGATTTTTTTTTTTTAATATTAAAGTATATTACATTAGCTTTAATTTAAGATATTTATAAAAGTGTCAGTATTTCTGGAACAATTTAAAAAATGAAGTTGAAAAAGTTGTACTTTCTATACGCATTTTTTGTTTTGAACCCTCCTATATATAGGTAAATGGTTCGATTTAAAAAAAAAGTATGTTGAATGAAAGATATAAATATAAAGTTAAACGTGTAAAATATAAAATCGAGAATTTTCATACAAAAATAGCATTTGGTAGCCGTTTTCACCGTGAAGACAAAATAAAGTTCGAATTTTTTTTTTTTTCATTATAAAGTATATTACATCAGCTTTAATTTAAGATATATATAGAAGTGTCAGACTTTCCGGAACACTTTTAAAAGTTAAGTTGAAAAAGTTGTCATTTTGAATCCCCTCTGTGAGCAGGTAAAGGGACAAATTTATAAAAAATATATACAAAATGATAGGTAAATATATCATGTATCTGTAAAAAAAAAATTATATCGATTTGTCATTTTTTGAAAAAGTTATGGCAGTTTTAAGTAAAAAAATATTGAAAAAATTTCGAAAATAAGTGATTTTTAAATTTGTAATTTTTTTGGAGATTTTCCCCATTTACGGGGAACGAGGGAAATTTTTTCAATTTTTGAGGGTATGTCTTCGACTAGATACGATTTATGATCTTTTGACATATCATTGAAAAAAATCGGTTCGATGAGAGCTGAGAAAAAGTGGTAACACACGCAAAAAAAAAACCCAGCACAGTGGGGTCGTGGCATAGTGGGGACATTGCATAGTTGGGTCCAGTATAGATTTAATCTGACAGTGATTAAAATCACTATCATAAGAAACGCTTCGATGCAAATCTGTAGAAAGTGTTTAATTCTAAGAAATTGGTGGATAATTACAAAAGCTACATTATCTGCTAGTTTCTTATTAATACCCTGATTAAGATAAAGTATGTCGAATGAAAAAGGGATTATTAAAAAATATTATTTCTCATAAAAAAATTGTGTTGATTCGTACACTTTTCAATGAGTTATAGCATTATAAAGTTAAAAATGTAACCAACCCAACCCAACATCAACTCCTATTTCCTTAATTATATCCAGATTAGTAATTAGTTTAATTATATATTATATAATTTTTATAATTAATTATTTTCAAATTATTATTGATTTTTAATATGTTAAAAGTAATCATTTTGAACCTACTTCTTTTTGTTCTTTAAAGTGAAAGTTTTAATAAAAAAAAAATNGTAATCATTTTGAACCTTACATCTTTTTGTTCTTAAAAGTGAAAGTTTTAATAAAAAAAAATTAATTTATTACCATAACTTTTAACTCAACTTGCAAGTTTGAAATAGATATTATTAAATAGAAAAAAATGAAATTGGTAGATTATTTCAAAAACAACAATAACACTTATTCCCTTAATTTTACCCCGATTTATAACTATAATATATGAATACATAATAATTACAGTAATTAAATTGAGTATGAAAGTGGTATTCAATAATATAATATTGTAATTTTTACGGAGATATTATAAAAATAAAAAGGAGTTGTATATTCATATACTTTTAATGCGTATACAAATTTAAAGGAATTGATGCAATACTTTTTAATAAAAAAATTTTGTTACTAATGAATAAATACACTAAACAAAAGAACTTTCATCAGAAAAAAAAATATACTTTTCTAAATAAACTTTTCGCGGTGTTTTCAAATGTGCAATTAAATTTTTTCTATTAATTCTAAGTAAATTAATAAATTATAAAGTAAAATTATTTACTTTTATAGTTGAATCAGACTATTTCCCTTTATACAGAGGGTATTCAAAATTAAAAGATGCATATAGAAAGTAGAACTTTATTAACTTAATTTTTGATAGTATTTCGGAAATACTGAAACTTTTATATATATCTTAAATTAAAGATTATGTAATATACTTAAATAACAAAAAAAAATTTCGGACTTTATTTTGTTTTCATGTTGAAAAAACAGACATCAATGTTAATAAAAAATTATTTTTTATGTTTTTTACTTCGTAATGCCATAACTTTTTTAAAAATGAACGAATCAATATAATTTTTTTTTTAATTATACATGATACCTATCATTTTGTAAATTTTTTTTATAAAACTGACCACAGGAAGGGATCTAAAATGACAACTTTTTCACAAAAAATTAAGTTTTTCAACTTTAATTGAATATAATTTTTTTTTTTTTAAATTTATGATTTATATAGCAACATGTCACAAAAAATCTGTAGATAGTGTTTAATTTTAAAAAATTGATGGATAATTGCAAAAGCAACATCAACTTCTATTAAAATAAAATACAAAACCCATAATTATCATACAAAAATAGTATATTTTTCAATATGGTA